TTAGCAAAATGTAGCCCCAGTCGCCCAATTTTCCTAAATAGAGAACATATGTCAACATAGTTTTCTATCTCTGCTGACAGCAAGCAAATGTGTTTAACAAACATCAAATAACATTTTTATCATAATGATAAGGCATAATATTTTTCAAGATGTGTGTAGGACAGTATAATATTTATGTTATGGCTGGTAATTTGATAATTTTATTCAAAAATTAGTTTTCAGGCACACAAACAACAAAATGGCTTGCATCTGATGCTTTACATATACGCTGAATAAAAATTTCCAGTGAGAAAGTTTACAAAAGGTGAAAGTTTCAATATCTATGTTATAAGAAACCAGTGGCTAAAAATTTTAATTTCATAATTTAAAGCATATATGTGCCCTTAAAGTTTTCTCTAAAAAATAAATATGTATACATGTGTATATCTACATATATCTACCTATATATAAATACGTACACATTCTCTCTCTCTCTCTCTCTCTCTCTCTCTCTCCACATACACACTCCCTTCAAGAGATAGATTTTAATCCTAATTTCAAATCAGAAAATATTTAGGATAAAGGTAAGGAAGAAAGTAATTGTCATCTTAAAACATCATTGTCACATGAATTCCCTATTCCCACTTTCTGGTTTATAAGCCCTCTTTAATGTGGTATTTACTCCTATAATTTTCACAACAATTGACAACTCGTGTCTCTTCCAGCTCCAGTTGAATCTTTCCTCAGAGCTTCCAATCTATATACTTGGAGAAGGAAATAAGCAGTGTGAACTTACAAGTAAAAGAACAGTTTCGAAAGCTAGAGAGATCTGGGTTTCTTCTGGCTCCATTGTATACACGTTGCTTGTTTGGGAAAGTTTCATGTCACTTTGAACAGAAGGTTTATTATGCCTTCCTATTACAAGCTGCCCAGAAAAGGAAAAAAAAGAATCTGTTTCTCCAAGATAGGCTGGCCATACCTGAAAGTAGACAGTTTCAGCAATGCAGTTTAATTCCAGGTTGGCCCTGAAGGCACATTTTTCTGATGGGCAATACGTTAGGCAGTGCACATAGCTGTTCATTTAGCTTAGAAGCGGAGATGGCCAATAGTGCAAAACTACAGTCACGAGTACCAGCAAATGTATGACAGTATGGTCTGGGAACTATAAGAAACACTGCTGAAAAATTGGTGCCAAGAAGTCTGAGAATGGTTTATGTGAATAGATGTCTCCAAATCAGCACAAAGTAGAAGATATTCATATACCATACAAATGATCACCAGAAAGATACTCAGCAGAGGAGTATCTTAATAATCAGGTGGACAAGATGACCCATTCTTATGGCCATCAGTCTCTAAGTGTCCAATTTACCAAATGGACAGACACCATTGCACCTCCATTTGGTACCATTCCCTGGGAGAAGGGAGGGATCAGCCAGCCATGGATGTCAGATTGATTTCATTGGATTGTTTTCATCATGGTAAAGGCAAACACCTGTTCTCACAGGAATATACATGTACCAAGAATATAGATTTATCTTTGCTCCCTGTCACTCTTCTGTGAATTTTGTCCCATATTGGACTTGCAAAATGCCTCATTCAGCATCATGGTATACCACACATCACTGATTTTGATCAATAAACTCATTTTATAGCAAATGAAGTACAGCAATGGGCTTATGCATATGAGTCACTGCACTGGTCTTACGAAGTTTCCCATCAGGGACGGAATGATGTAATGACCTTCTGAAATGCTAATTGTCATAACAGCTGGATACTACCACCTTGCTAGTTCCGAGGCAATGTCTTCCAAGATGTTGAATATACTTTAAATAAGCAACAAATATATGGTGCTTTTTTTCTAGAGTCAGGCTTTACAGGTCTGGGAATCAAAAGATAAATATGGGAATTATTTATTTCACTATGGCCCCTAGAGATTTATTAGAGCAATGTTTGTTTCTGGTTCCCATGATTGGAGGCTTTGCTGGTCTAGAAGTCTTAGGAGTCTATTGGGGTCTCGGTAATGGTGCCATTTAAATAGGAAGTTCTGAGTGCCCCTAGGGCAGGACTTTGTGTCCTCTTTTGGGGAGGAAGTGTGTTTTTAGTTTTATGAGGGGAAATGGCATCATGTTAGGTGGAAGTATTTGTTGCTACTGTCTTTATTTGAAATATAGGTATGGTTAGAGAAGACATGCACTGATGTCAAGCTGACACACGGTAGATTACTGTGGCTTTCTGTCAACTTTGCTAAGCTTAAGCACTCTTCCCTCCTTCCCTCTATGGTTTCAGGGAGTACTGGTAACAAGAGACAGATGCATGAGGCAGGGAAAGTGAACATGAAATGCCAACAATTTTACTCTGAGAAGCTTGGCACAGGACATTGGGTACTGGGCAGCCTGTAGCTGCTCAAACTCCTACCAGTTCCTTCCCTTCAGCTGTTCTGAGTCATGGGCTGGGTGCAAATATGGGTCCATTGTGAGGGGCACCAACTTCTCCTGCAGTTCATCAGCTCATCTTAGAGACAGTGAGAAAAAGGCACAGGCCCTGATCTCTGTTCATTTTTTCAGGGCATCCTTCCCAACTATAGTTGGCCCTAACACTCGTCTACCTCACATGCAGCTTTCCTCCTCTGCAGAGAACCTGTCCCATACCAGATGCAGAAGATTCACCTTGTGAAGATTCTGCCAGCTCCTGTAACTACGTTCATTCTACTTCCCATAATTAGTCTCACACCATATACTACTCATACTGGTTCTGCTTCACCGATTAAACCTTGATGGATACAATTACTATGCAGAATATGCAAAACTGTCTACAAAGTAGGAAGATGACTAAATAAAAAAAGCAGCAAAATAAACAGAAAAATTACACAATAGTAAACAAAAAAGCAGCTCACACAGGATGTCCAACCTCATTAGTAATCAGAGAAATACAAATTAAAACATGAGCTGTTTCATACTCATTAAGGGACAAATATCAAAAATGCTGACAACTCTAAGAGTGAGTCTGGATGTGGAACAAGAGAAGTTGTACACTTTGCTGGTGAGATTGTAAACCATTTAACCACTTTGAGAATGATTTAGTAACACTGCTAAAGCTTAAAATGGGCAACCCCTAAGTCCTTCCAATGCCACATCTAGGAAGGACACTATGAGAACTCTCAAATAGGAAAAAAAAAAGGGGGTAGGCACATGTAATGTTCCTTATCTAGAGGATAATGACACCAACAAATATTTGAACTTAAGAAACAGACACTTACTTTGAAGTTGGCCATCCAGGAGAGAAGGAGGTCTCCAATGCCAACTGTGGTAGGTGTCCCCCAAGATACCCTCAGTGATCCTTGCCTGGGGTAATCGTGCCCTTGTATAATCCCCTCCCTTTGTGTGTATGGTCTTTATTTAATGACTCACTTTTAGTGAACAGAATGTAGTGAGGTGATAGGATGTCACTTGCAAGATCAGGTAAAACAAACACTGTGGCTTCTGTTTTGGGATCCTTCTCCTTGCTCTGAGGGATACCATCTACTACATAATGAGCTACCCTATGGAGAAACCTACATGACAAAGAACAGATTCTGCAGTCAACATCCAGCAAGGGCCTGAAGCCAGCCAACAGCCATATGAGCAAGTATGGATGCGGATCTTCCCAGTTCGTGGTGCCTGGAGCTGACTGCTGTCCTGCCAGACACTCTAATTGTAGAAATGTCAGATCTTGAGCCAGAAGCACCAGCTAAGTCATGCTCAGATTCCAACTAACAGAAACTATGAAATAATAAATGTTGTTATAAGCCACTGAGTTTTGAGATAATTTGTAAAACAGCAATAGAAAATGAATACACTTTCTAATAATCATTGTGACTCACAGTGATAAACAAATTCATATTTTCAGACTAACAGAGACTCTGAATTACCTAAAGTTACCCATTAATTCAACCTAATTGAAGGCCTAATCTATAATACTAGGTCCTGTGGAAATAAAACATGAAAAAACACCCTAAAACCTATGCTTTTATGAAATTTTGTACAGAGGCAATAAATAAATAAGTATACTATATCTTATGTGAGATGATGATATGTAGTATAGGAAAAAAGAAGGTAAGGCAGCAGGACAGAGAAAGTCAGGTCAACATATGGGTTGCAGTTTTAAAAAGGGTAGTTAAAAGCCTTGTCTGAAAAGATGACATGTGAGTAAAACCCAGAAAGGCATGAGGAAGTGAGTTGCACGGACTCTGAGGAAGTGCACTCCATGCAGAGGGAGGGGCCATGGAAACGTCTTGACATGGGAAGTAAAGCAGTCAGTGTATCATTTAGAGGCCTGTGTGCTTCCTGAGGCCTTAAGCTTTGACTCTGAAGTGAAATGAGGAGTCATTAGGTTTTGAAGAGAAGAGTGACATCACTAGATTCTGTTTTTAAAATGATTGTGCTGGCTGCTGAGCTGAAAAAAGGTTATGTGTGGTGGTGGGGCTAGGCCTTGCAGGCAGTAGGTGCAGAAGCAAGAAGACTGCTAGTAGGTTTTTAATATAATAATCCCTGTGAGTATGACTGTTCAGACCAGGGCAGCAAAGATGAAGGATGTGAAAAATGGCCAGCTTCTGAATACTGATGGCCTCTACTTAGGATGGCTCAACTTACAATTCTTCAACTTTACAACAGGTTTATCAGGGTATTCAATGTATTTTCAACTTAAAATATTTTCAAGACAGGATGGGTTTATTGGGATGTAACCCTATCATAAGTCAAGGGGCATCTGCATAGTTTAAAGGAAGATTCAATAGGATTTTCCAGCTAACTAAATTAATTTGCAAAGTATATATGTGTGTATATCCACTGAAAATTACCTGTTGTAAATCATTAACCCAGAAGAATACATGCTTTAGGAACCCTGCCTTCAACTAATTGTTACTTATAATCCCCTGTAATCTATACCCACTGCTACTGTGTTGCTTCCAGGCAATAATGACCATTTGCAATGACTTTTTAAAGACTTCAAACACATTTTATTTCTTCATTTATGCTGTAATTTAATGAGCAACAAAGTGCTTACATAACAGGCTGGTTCTGAACAAATATGTATTACAGCTGCTGTGATTGTTACTAACGTTTCCACTCTTTGGGGGTTACTCTGCCCACAGGGGATGGGTTCCATTCTATTCCAATCTGTGTGGTAGTAAACACCCATGCAACAACACAGAAAGTGACCCCACTGGCCAACACAGCATTTCCATATTTATCATGAAAATCCTGTGAGCATTTTATATAGCGCTGTCTTGCCATCCTTTGCTGAATGCTGTGAATCTTGAGACCACGTAGCGCATTTCTGGCCAAGGGAAACATTCTGAAGGTTGATAGGATGGCAGTTGATTACAGCTACTGGTCTATTTTGTCGCAAAGAGACCTGGAAAAACAAAAAAGGGGAAATGACATCTGATCTTCATTCAGATCCTCCCTCTCTGAATGTTTTGCCCACACTACCCCTTGGAGTTGTGAGTGGTCAGGCACGTGGGATTTTGTTGCTGTTGCTATTTTGTTTTTGTTTTAAGACAAGGTCTCACCCTGTTGACCAGGTTAGAGTGCAGTGACAGGCATGATCACAGCTCACTGCAGCCTCAAACTCCTGGACTGAAGTGACCCTCCCACTTCAGCCTCCCAAGTTGCTGGGTCTACAGGTGTGTGCTACCATGCCTGGTTAATTTTTCTATTTTTTGTAAAGACAAGTCTCACTTTGGTGCATAGTCTGATCTTGAAACTGCTGGCCTCAAGCAATTCTCCCACCTCAGTCTCCAAAGTGCTGGGATTACAGGCATGAGCCACTGCAAGCAGCTAGGCATGTGAATTTTGATATTATAATGTCTGGATTTGAATTCCAGTTTTGTCACTGATTAGGTATATAAAATTGGGCAGCTGTTTAATCTCTCTTTGCCTTATTTTCCTCAATGGCAAACTAAGAGAATAATGTTCACATCCTAAGGATGCTGTGAAGATTACATGTGTTCATCCAAAATAAAAACAACAACAAAATAAGCATGCAGTATGTATTAGCCTTTCTAATAATCACAAATATCCAATGGCTTTGCACCATAGCTAAGACTCCAAATGGAACAGTGTGGTTGAAATGGCTCCTTAAAATGGCTCCTGGCTTGCCTCCCTAGTCTCACAACTTGCCTTATGTCTACTGTAAACTCCAGGTTTCAGTCAGGATCACCAGGCAGTCACAAACATGACATACCGTCTGCCCCTTCCTCCTAGCCCCCGTCTCCTCTCTTCTTCTCTGCCTGTAATACTACCTGCCTTTGCCCTCCTACAGACAAAATCCTACTTATCTTTGAAATCTCACCCTAAGAGTCACCACCTGTGAAGTCTTTGCCAAACCTCCCTGGGTTGAACAAGCCCCCTCCTTCTCTGGACTACCACACTTTTAAAAATTCTTTTTTCATAGCACTTAACATTGAGGCACTATTTTTTAAAATAGACTTTATGTTTTTGGAGAAGTTTTGGTTCATAGTCAAGTGAGCAGAAAGGACTGAGTTCTCACACTCACTCACTCTACACACTCAGAGCCTCCCCAGTCATCGACATCTTCCACCAGAGTGGTGAAGCATTAAAACTGGAAAACCTACCCTGATATATCACCACCCGAAGGCCAAAATTTGCACTGGAGTTCATTTTTGATGTTTCACATTCTATAGGTTTTGACACATGTATAATGGCATGTATCCACCGCTACAGTAGCATAAAGAACAGTCTCTGTGCTCTGCTAACTCCTGGAAACCGACAATCATATTACGGACTTCACAGTTTTGCCTTTTTCAGAATATTATGTCATTGGAATCACATAGTATGTAGCTTTTTTCAGTTTGGTTTCTTTCCCCTTCATAAAAGCCATTTAAGGTTCACCCATGTCTCTTCATGGCTAGATAGCTCATTTTGTTTTAGTGCTGAATAATATCCTACTATCTGGATGTACCACAATGTACTTATCCTTTTTTTGTTTTGTTTTGTTTTCAAAGTCACAGACTCATTCTGTCATCTGGGCTGTAGTGTAGTAGCTTATTGCAGCTCACCGCAGCTACGACCTCCTGGGTTCAGGCGATCCTTCTACCTCAGCCTCCCAAGTAGTAGGGAGAGGAAGGACTGTAGGACTACAGGCACACACCAAAATTTTTTTATTTTTGTAGAGACAAAGGTCTCACTATGTTGCCTAGGCCAGTCTTGAACCTCTGGACTCAAGCAATTCTCCCACTTCAGCCTACCTAAGTGCTGGGATTACAAGTATGAACCATTGCATCTAGCCTATTTATCCATTTTTTTTAACTGAAGAACATCTTGGTTGCTTCCACGTTTTAGCAATTATGAATAAAGCTGCTATAAACATCCATTTGTACAGATGTCTAAACATAAGCTTTTAGTTAATTCAGGTAAATATCTAGGAGCATGACTGGTGGATCATATGGTAATAATATGTTTAGTTTTGTAAGAAACTATTAATACCTGACTGCTTTCCAAAGTGGCTGTAATGTTTTAAATTCCCACCAGCAATGAATGAAAGGATTCTTAGCTCCACATCCTCGCCAGCATTTGGTGTTGCTAGTGCTTTGGATTTGGGCCATTTAAATCGGTAAATAGGTTGTTAATTTGTACTTTTCTCATGACATATAACATTGAACATCTTTTCATAACCTTATTTTCCATCTATATATCTTCTTGGGTGAAGTGTTGTTTCAGATCTTTAACCCATTTTTAAAAATTGGGTTGTTCATTTTCTTATTGTAACATTTTATGAGTTCTTTGTATATTTTGGATCAGAGTCCTCAATTTGATATGCATTTTGTAAATATTTTCTTCTAGCCTTTGGCTTGCCTTGTTGCTCCCCTCAGGTAATTATCTTTTTATTCTCTGCTAATACACTGCAACTTCTCCAAGAGCAAGGACTGTAACTTTGCACATAAAGTAGCTGACACAAAAGCATAGAAATAACTTTTTCAATCAATCTGAAAATGAATGAATATTGGTATCCCCTAAGAAACTAAAACAAATTTAAGAATAGAGAAATCAGATAATTTTCTTTCTTTTTTTTTTTTTGAGTTGGAGTCTCTGTCACCCAGACTGGAGTGCAGTGGAGTGCAGTGGCCGCTCCCGGCCTGCTGGGCTCCGGTGATCCTTCCGTCTCAGCCTTCTGAGTAGCCGGAATTACAGGCACGCGCTACCATGCCCGAATGATTTTTTTTTTTTTTTTTTTTTTTTTTGAGTTGGAGTCTCACTCGATCTCCCAGACTGGAGTTCAGTGGCCGCTCCCGGCCACCGCAGCCTTGACTGCTGGGCTCCGGCGATCCTTCCACTTCAGCCTTCCAAGTAACCGGAATTACAGGCATGCGCTACCACACCCGGCTGATTTTTTTATTTATTGTAAAGATGAAGTCTCGCTGCCCAGGCGGGTCTCGAACCCGCGGGCTCAGGCAATCCACTCACTTCAGCCTCCCAAAGGCGCGGGATTACAGGCTAAGCCACCGAGCCCGGCTGATTTTTTGATGTATTACAGAGATGCGGTCTCGCCAAGTTGCCCAGGCGGGTCTCGAACCCATGGGCTCAGGCAATCCACCCACCTTATTTCTTAAACAGATAATTAAAAGAAATCTGGAAGCAGAAACACATTGAAACATTTGTTTCCATTTCTCTTCCCTTGTGCAGGCTGTCAAACAAGCACTGTCTTTAGCAATGACATATGCTAACTGTGGCCCAAGTGTAGGCAACATGGATATAAAAGGGCTGGAGGTCAGTGCTTGTAAACTATAACTGTTCCCTGTGACTTGCCAGCTCAGAAGACTTTATTTCTGACTTAAAAAAACCAGACCTTTTACTTCCCACCATGTGGTAAGTGGCATTCTTCATGACGGTGACAGACAGGGCATACCAGAGCCAAATTAATTCCTTCTGAGGTTCCAAAGATATTTCATGTTAGTCATAGATCTCTCCATCAAAAGGCACCAGGGTTTTTATTCAAACTGAATTCAGAGTAGCCTGAAGGTGAACTGTGTCAGGGTACGACAGGTGCAGCCTTAATCCAATATAACACCACCTGTGCCACACGTTGCTTGCAGTCTCGAGGAAGGCACAGACTAGAGAATAGTTTGTGATAGCAGTGATCTCTAGTGGGTCATCAACTCATGCCTGCTGCTTCATGACAAACTGGTTTCATTATCCCGATACTCATGATACCAAGTTGAAACTCAGTACTTTGTCTCTAGTGACACGGATCACATCCTTGAGTGGCTTAATTCATGCGGTGGCTGTTCCCACGTCTGTGAAGCTTTTCTTTTTCATCTGGCCTAAATTTTCCAGTACCATTATCTACTGTTTCCCTTTAGGAAATCCTTCTGTAGAATACATTTTGCATTTAATCCTGTAATAAATAAGCTGCAATCTTTTTTTCCATCTATTTACTTGCCTTCAGATCTACTTTGTATCTATCTTTGTTCACAAAATATTTAAAAGCTAAGAACCCACTGATTAGAGGAATTTTCCATATTGTTTAACTCCATATAACAAATCTCTATAATAATTTTTTTTTATATCAGTGAGTCCTAAGCCCAAAAAACTACATTTATAGATTCCAAAATCCATATGAAAGTATGAAAAAGGAAATTCAATAATACAAGGTAGGTAAAAGAAATGTTTCTCAAAGTAGATGCTTTCTGACGAAAACAGACTACAAAGAGATAGAAGAAGATAGGGTTCTCTAGGTATTAAGAACAAAGGAAAGATTCCCTTATGCCTGTGGCAATAAAATAGAAGAAGTATGTTCAGAATAAATATAAATAGTTAAAGAAAGTGAACTATCCTATGAAGTTGAAAAGGAAAGACTGACTGTGTCATCTATTTTATACAGTAATCTCAAAACTACTCAGACTAACTTCCTTAGGAATGTAAATAGATTTGAAGCTTCACTGGTAACAATAATTTAAAATCACTAAAAGTCATAAAAAGTAAGGCAATAATGTAGGAAGGAAATTAACATTTATTGAGTATATACCTATGTGCCAGACATTGTGTCAGGATTTTGCATATTTGCAAAATGGTGTGAAAGGATGATTGTTTAACCCCCTTTTCCTGCATAAGAACAAATGACAGGACACAATGAAAACATACGTCTTTTGATTCGAAGTCCAATATATTTTTCAACTATTCCATATTTTTGTAAAGTATGATTAACTCTGAGTATTGGAAAAAAAACAATTAAACAATTAAAACAAAACAAAAAACCCAATGTGGTTACCAGAGATGGCCCTTTAATTGAAAACGGCCCACTGTGGTGTATTATTTATTTACCTAGTAACTGTGTGTGTCAG